AGACACTTCCTTCTGTTCATTCTGTACTATAATACAGCCCAGAATTATGAATGCCAGACACGGCCCACGTGGCTGCCTGCCCTGCTACCCAGCCTTGAAGACGGAACCCAGGTCACATGCTGCTGAGCTTTGAGAACTTTGGCCTGGTGATGATACTTTCTCACCTGCAGACAACTTCTGCTTCACCGTCCTAGTTTTACCACGATCTGTCTCCAGCCCCATTAATAACAGCACCATCCCAGACCACATGTCAATCACTTTATCATTTCCTGTCAGCAAGGCAGACCTGGTGAGACTCCTGTACTTTGCAGAAAATCAGAAGGCGTGCCTCCTGCCCTTTCTCCACAGCACATAGGACCAGACTAGACACACTCACACAACACCTGACAAGTCATACAAAACTGATTGTTTTAAAGCACGGGAACTGGATACGAGGGTCTTGGGTGTGCTTCCTGTTATACTCACAGAGATCTGCTCCTGTCTTGAGGACCCATGATGGCATTGAGGCCAGGTTTCATGATCCCACTGTAAACACAAAATCACACTGGTTTACGTGTCATTGTGAAGGTGTTATGGAGCTTAGTGTCTACAGGGGGTATGCTCAGTGAAGTTGGATGACATTGTAGACAGAATTCAGCACACACCCATAGGGAATTCTTAAATGTTAATAGAGGTCTGTTATTGACAAAAGCTGTTGACTATTAGTGGGGACTCGTCAGAAAAATCCTCCAATATCACAGAGCCCTTTTGTTTATTCCTTACACCACTTGGCGTTTTTGACAAGCAGGGCTCCTAAGTTCAGTGTTCCTTGACACAAGCAGCGGGTTCTCATGGAGACCCCAGTGCACACTAAGCCTGCATGTGTCAAGTCTGGAACAGCTTCTGGCTGAGGGTTGCTGTTTAGTGTCTTCACATAGCCCTGGTTGCTACCCACTGAACCTCTGCCCAGGAAAGCAGCGATTCACTGGATACTGGTAGCTGTGTTGCTGCTGGTAAAACAGAATCAAACTACAAGCAGTACATCTTAAGTAGAAATCCAGTGACTAGAAAGAAGCACTCAGAGGATAGGAAACTGCTTCCAGGATTACCACTAAGGAAAAACAACTGAAAGGAAATAGAATAGCAAAATACACACCCCAGGAAAATGATGGTTTCCCTCCCTGATAAATAGGTCAGATTATGCTCCGCTTAGAACTGGGACAGACTCCTCAGCTGGAGGACATTGTTTACTGATTTACAGTTACAGCACACACACAAATCAGCATCCAAACACTGACTGAATGATCGATTAGTGAATATTCACACTGGAAAGTTCATATTCTTGTATAAAACATAGCTGCCTCCCATTTGTCATTTCCTATTCAGATAATGTGTCAATCCTTTGTCCTGCCTACCCCCTTCTTAGTGAGAAAATGGTGGGAGCTCAGGGTTGAGGAGCAGAGAGGAGGAGTGCCCAAGACCAGTGACCTTGGCTGGGCTGAGAGAAGGAGTGTACACACATACACACAGCTTATTGGAAACAGGGAAAGTGTGTTTCTTGAAAAGTTATTCAATACAGTGTTCTCTCCGTTGTCTTTATTTCGTGAACGTACCTGATATTTGACAGTCTCTCTATTTCATGGGTCATTTTACAAAGAGGAAAACCGCTCTGCACTGTTTCTCGATAGCTGATGTTATGGAAACTCAACACAGCTTCTTCAGCCAAAGTCTTCTGGCCACTGGCACTCATTCCAGGATGGTCACTGGGATTTCTCTCAGTCATTGGGTTTCCTATGGGGCCATCATTGGAAGACATCTTGAGAGGGTCTTTCTTCCTGTAGAAGGAAAAGCAATAGGAAGTTGATGGTCCAGACGAGCAAAATTATAACACAACCACACACAGATCTCTTTGAGCTGTGCTGTCATACGCAGGTTCCTTCCTGATGAACAGGACAGACTGCTGGGATTTCCTAATAACCCAAATGAGAAACAGACAGGACTGAGCACATAGACTGCCCTGAGGTACCACACTCCCAAGAAACAACTGGGCCCATTGAATCAAATATAAATGTTATTCGTAGACAAATGGGAGAGCAGATGTGTCTTACTTCAAAACCATATTATGATACAATGTGAGTTCAGAGGCAGAATAAATGACCACCATTGCCTCTCCACGTGTTTGTTGTATGCCTGTGTGTGTGTGTGTGTGTGTGTGTGTGTGTGTGTGTTTGTGTCCAGAAGTGTGGACTTGTGTCAGGGAAAAACAACACAGCCATTCTGAAACAAGGTGGCCAAAATACACATTTGGTTCAAGGCATGGTGTGAGTTCAAGGTACAGACAGGTCCAAGGTGCAGATTGCCTCAAAGCACAGTGCAGGACTTCATGCTTTACAAAAGGAGTCACGTATGGCATGGCACACTGAAAATGCTGTCCTGGATGTTACAAAGGAACATGAATATCACCACGGCCTGATTTCCACATACTCTACATCTCATGGTGCTGGAACCAGGAGCTTCTGTTTTCTGAGTTTGACTGTGCTGGGGTCCATAATTACTAAGCAGAATCCGTCATTTCCTGGGATGCCCCAGCTGGCAGGCAGCCAGAGGGACAGTAGCAGAAGTAGGAGGACAGCTCAGGTTATGGAGAAAGCAGGACAGGCAGCTGGTGTCCTGTCACTAGGAATGGCATGGCTCCTATTGATGACCACTGTGCCCAAGGGGTCTGGGCATATGGCCTGCAGATCCTGGGTTTCTGACACTGACTCAAGCTGCGTGGTGTGTGCAGCAGACAAGGGCTGAGAACTCTGACCCCACGTTACCAGGGTCACTCAGTTTCCACAGCTTCCTCATCATAGTATGGCAGGATGCTGCTGTATGGGATCTGAAAATGCTTAGGCAGGCAGACAGCCCAGGCCCCAGGAATCCCCTTCTCCAGTGCAGGACTTCATGCTCTGTTTGCCATCCCTCTTCCCCCAACACCTCAGAGACACTGGTTTGTTTAGAGAAAGTCCACAACCGGAAGTGCCTACCCAGACTTCGGGCCACAAAGCCCTGTGGGGCTGGCAGCGGCAGAGACATATAGAAAGGAGGAAGTCTGCCCTGTGAGTGATGCTCTGTTCTCACCGTGCTCCTGTGCAGCGTCAAGCGCCAACCTGTGCAAGGGTGTACACCACCTGTGACCCTGAACCCCCAGACCCGGCAAATTCTATGAGAGCATCAAGAGTGAGGTGCTTCCCATTCTGTCTTCCAGACATTAAAAACCTGATGAGTTGTTTTAATATATTACATTATTTTAATATTTTAAATGTTTTAATGTCTTAAATATCCTTGTCTTGTGTTTTCTATTTTATTAAATTTATTTATTTGTTTATTCACTTTACATCACAATTGCATCCCCCCCCCCCCCCCCTTCTTCCTCCCCCCCCCTTTTTTCCCAAAAGGATACCCCCCCCCCCCCCCCCCCCCCCATCAACAGATCCCAACACATCAAGTCTCATCAGGACTAAGAGCATCCTCTTCTACTGAGACCACACAAGGCAGCCCAGCTGGGAGAAAGTGCTTCAAAAGCAGGCAACAGAGCCCATGTCAGAGACAGCACCTGCTCCACTTGCTAGGGGATCCTCATGAAGATCAAGCTGCCCATCAGTTACATATGCGTCTCAGACCTAGATCCAGACCATGCATGCTCTTTGGTTGGCAGGTTAGTCTCTGTGAGCCCCTGTGGGCTCTGTTGGTCTTCTTGTGGAGTTCTTGTCTCCTCCTGGTCCTTCTATCCTTCCTGTCACTCTTCTATGGGCTCCTTATACTCTGCCTAATGTTTGGCCGGGGGTCTCAGCATCTGTTTTGATCTGCTCCTGGGGGGAACCTCTCAGAGGAGAGGTATGCACTTAACAAAATGCCCAACATCCTTAGTCATCAGGGAAATGAAAAGCAAAACAACTCTGAGATTCCAACTCACACCCATCAGAATGGCTAAGATCAAAAACTCAAGTGACAACACATGCTAGAGAGGATGTGGAGAAAGGAGAACCTTCCTCCATTGCTGGTAGGAATGCAAACACAGCCACTGTGGAAGTCAATCTGGTGCTTTCTCAGAAATTAGGAATGGCTTTCTTTATCTCAGGACCCAGCGATACCACTCCTGGGTATATACCCAAAGATGCTCCATCATACAACAAGGACATCTGCTCAACTGTGCTTATAGCAGCTTTATTTGTAATTGCCAAAAAGGAGAAACAACGCAGATGTCCCTCAATTGAAGAATAGATAAAGAAAACATGGTATATTTATACCTTGAAAAACTACTCAGCAATTAAAAACAAGGAAATCAAGAAATTTGCAGTCAAATGTAAGAAACTAGAAAGTATCATTCTGAGTGAGGTAACGCAGACCCAGGAAGAAGCACATGGCATGGACTCACATATATGCAGATATTTGCCATATAGTACAGGATAACCAGAGACCCAAAGAAGCTAAGTAACAAGGAGGGCTCAAGGGAGGATGCTTGAATCCCACACAGAAGGGGAAATAGGATAGATATCAGTAGAGAGGGATAAAGAGAGGGAACTGGGTAGGAGAGGGTGTGGAAAGGGGAATGAGGGTAGGATCAGATATGGGGAGAGCAGGGATGGGGAGAGGGCTGGGAGAGAGAACGAGGCTTCTGTGAGGATATGAGGTGACTCTACCTGCAACTCCTGGTAGTTGGGAACATGGAGACTGAAGTGTCTCCTCCTAGTCAGAGAGGGCTTCCAGTGGAGGAAGGGGGACACCAACCAACTTATAAAAACTTTGACCCAAAATTTGTCCTGCCTACAGGATGTGTAGGGATAAAGATGGAGCAGAGATTGAGGGAATGCCCAACTAATGCCTGGCCCAACCATAGAACTATCCCTGATATGAAAGAGAGCCAACTCCTGACACTATTAATGATACTCTGCTATGCTTACAGACAGGAGGCTTGTGTTTTCTTAAGTGTGCTGTTGTTAACTTTGAGACAAGGTTCCTGGTACAGGCTCAGAGTTGCCACAAATTTGTGATCCTCCTATTTCAATTTCCAAGTGTCAGGATTACAGGCCTGTGCTTTATCTGTTTTTATTTGCACATTTTAAACTATTGTGACTATATTGTTCTTAGTCTCTTGCTCTTTTCCTCTACTTTCCTTTTTTTCTAACCTTGCATTCTAATATTCTAACATTATTTTATTGTTGTTGTTTTTACCTGCCTCAGGTTCTAACTTCATGTTTTACTCTAAATTAATTTTGTCTGTTACTTTGATTATGCTCACTATGACCATTGTGGGGAAGTTGGCTCTTGGATTGTTGTTACTGTGGTTGTTTTCTCCATCTAGCCCATTGAGTACTTATACTGTCACTTATATGTGTGTTTTCATGGCTGCCCATTTGGAACTGGTTAACCAGCTGGTGTGCTCTTTTCTTAAGAGATCATTTCTCCACTCCCAGCTTTACTCAGATGCCTCTAGTTCTTTGTGTAGGCTGAGGTTTCCTTGACCTTTCTCCATGCGGCTTGGCATGCCCATTGCTCTCCTGCTTCTTCAGCTCACATGTGGGCAGCCACATTGATAAGATTTTATGGGTTTAGATTCTGATGTCTCTGGAGTCACAATCTCACAGCAAATTCCTCCTCCCCTGGCTCTTAGACTCCGCTGCTCCATCTTCCACAGTGTTCCCTGAGCCGTAGGCAAGTGACTATGGATACATCCATTGGAACTGGGCTCCAAAACCACATTTTAGTTGTGGTTTGTGGTTTTCTGTAGAAGTCTTTATCTGCTGCAAAACCAAGTTTTCTTGAGGAGGGGTGACAATGACACTTCTCTATGGTTTAAGGACAGATGTTTATAGAGTGGTGTTAAAGATCATGCTTTGTTAGTAAATTAGTGATCATAGAGTCTCCTCCAATAACCATGACTTCACCAGCATTGGTTAGTTATCCAGGTTTCCAGGACCAGCCATGCTATGCCCATTGTTGAGCAGGACTAAAGCCCAATTAGAGAGCTGTTGGTTGCTGCCAAGGTTTGTTTGCCATTACTGCATGCACAGGACTATCCTACAGGTTATCATCACTCATTGATATGGTTCATGAGTGCCATAGCTTGGAGGGACTGTTGGTTGCCTCTCTCCTTTGGAGTGTTGTATGGTGCCTCCCAGTACCAGAAAAGCTAATCCTCAGGGAGTGGATTTCAAGTCAGTTCCAGCTCAGGAGCCTCTGGGTCCTGTTTCTGAAATGCATGGTGTCTTAGTTGGCGGATAACCAAGCACAGTAGCAGCAGGCTGTATGTTCTAGGAGTTTCTTAGACAGCCCTGGCCTACAACTCAAACCAGGGCTTCTCATATCTGCTGCTTGTTTTATGTCTCTTAGGTGGTCTTTGGATCTTGGAGGGAGCTCCATCAGCCTACATGAGAAAGGTTCAATAAAACTGTGTATGAGCATCTGCCTCTGTGTGCTCTATAGATTCTACTAATTTAGGTGAATATGTAACAGTATGCTTCCTTGTGGCTTTCATCCATCCATATTGCTATTTTGCCCACTTCTCTCCTCCTGTATTTACTTCCCTCCTGCTTTCCTAAAGCACACCCTTCCCCCATCACATCAATTGTGTTACAAAAATACAGAACACTTGACAAATTTGTGTGTCATCCTTGCACAGGGGCCACGCTAATCTCTGGATTGTTCCAGTTTTAGTTTATGTGGTGACTAACTGGCACAATGGTTGACTTCAGTACCTGCTCACATCAACAGACCTCCCCCCACCCAGACCTCCCCCTTCAGGAAACTTCAGAGGTAAGTTTACTGTGCCATAGACCACATGGGCTCGAAAGACACCTACTGAATACTCCATACAGTAAGTGTAGAAGTCACATTATCCTCAGACACTTGTGGGTCTTTGAAAAAACTGATCACATCTTAAGATGTAAATCAAGTTTTAATGAATCAAAAAGGTAATTTCTTTCATCCTATCAGAGCATAATGGAATCGAAGTTTAAAAGCCAACAGCAAGAGAAACTGCAGAAACACATGGCGATTGAACAATAAATTATGTTACAACATGTGCAAATTAGTAAAAGAAGTTCAGCACGTCACATGATAAGAATGACAGTATCAACCTCGATAGATGGAGGAAGCCTTTGAAAAACTAACCCATTCTTGATTAAATCGATTAAATCCGTGAACAAACCAGAAACAGAGAGCTCACACCTGCACATTATACAGGCTCCTGTGATAATCCTATCAGCAGTATTATGCTAAAAGTGGAATAACGAAAATTAGTCCCTCTAACAGCAGGATTGAGCCGAGAGTGGCCATTCTCTCAACTGCCATTTAATGCAGGGCTTGAGTCCTCAGAGAAATAAGACAAGAGACAAAAAAAAAATTAATAATAATAAAGCTATAAACAGGAAAGGAGGAAGTCAAGTTACCCTATTTGTAGATGAAATGCTTCTACATTATAATCCCACAGGGCCGGCAGAGCACTTGCCTAACATATGCCAGGCTCTGGATTTGATCCTCTGAACCACACACCCAAAAAAAGGCTCTGAAATCTATCCAGGGTCCTGCAGGATGTCTCTGCAGGTAACAGCGCTGGCTGCACACGACTGATGATCTGAGTTCTAGCCCAAGAACTGCACAGATAGGGGAACACCGAGGCAAGCCTTTGCAATCCCAACACAGGACTCAGCAGGAAGCTGGTAGGCCAGCTACTACCCAGCATGGCAGAAACTACGGGAAAGCCTCTGCCCCAGCAGGATGGAAGAAAAGAACAGACTTTAAAGGTTACCCTAAGCTCTTCTTCCATACCCAGTGTGCCATTCTGTCCCTCTCCCACTTGGAAAAGACCAAGAGAAGCTGTGGGAGAGCATCTCTGGGTTTAAGTAAGCAGAGTAGTTGGTGGAAATATGCTTGCACACCTCTGAATATACCCATATTATGCACTGTGCGTTGGTGAAGCACATAATGATAATTATAGTACAGTAAAGCCATTCCTGAAGAGAAAAAGTGTGATGCCACAGTCACATAGACCAAAAATTTTTGGTTCATGTCCTGAATTGATGTGGGCAAAAAAGTTTCTTGGAGAAGAAATTTTAGTTTACTATGTGCTAATATAGCTCTCTCTCTCTCTTTCTCTCTCTCTCTTTCTCTCCTTTCTCTCTCTCTCTGTATATGTGTGAGAGACAAAGACCTTATGAGATCTCTAATATTCATAATTCATCTTATCCTAACTAATTTCCTCAAACAGATGATTCTAAGACTTTCTATTCAAACATTTTTAAATACAACCGAACCTAAATCAAAAATTATCAACAAAATGTTGGGTGAAAAGAAAATTACCCTGACCTGATTACTAACATTGTTCAAATGCACAAAAATGTCACACCGTACCCCAAAATATATACAGTGTCACATGGTGCACTGAAATATATACAATGTGTCTATAAGGTAAGTATTTATGAAATCCTTAAAGAGAATGAAAGTCACAGAACCCCACATAAAATATGTACAGTGTGGCTATAAGGTAAGCATATACCACATCCCTAAGGAACATGAATGTCACAGATCCCATATCAAATCTTGGTGTAACTTTAAAAACTGTTCATCAAGGTGTTTGTAACACTCAGGATAAGGAAAGGGCAGCCAGAGTTTGCCTTAGCCTAACTGCTACTCGCCTTATGGGATGGTTCAAAGCATAGTCTTTCTTTGAGTCTCCTCTACGTTCCAAATTAACAAATGTAAGAGATGTTCCCTCCAAAGCAGAGGCAGCAGAAGCCTCTCTGAGAAGGCAGTATGTTCCCCTCCTGTTCCTGAGCTGTGAGACTGGCCCTTCCAGGTATGATCACAATAGTGCAACTTAAGGCTGTTTGGCTCTGCTGACACAGCCATGGCCACTGGAAACAGCGAGAATCAGGAAGCCAGCACACATGCTTGACATGGATCCCGCACAGCTGTGCCCAAGGCTGCTGTCACTGTCCTTCTGTCTCTAACTTCTAGGGTTTAGTCTCTGTGCATTGCATTCTTGGGGACTTTCTGCAATGTCGTTCATTTTATGTCTTCTCCTGAGAATAATTATGTCTGCGTCTTTTTAGAAAAATCCTAAAATTAAGTTTTTCTGGCCACTGTCTGGAAGTCTTCCTTATGCCCTGGAGATGATTAAGCACAGATAAGCACACAGCTAGGTGAGGCCATTACTCCAGAAATCTTCTGGGGTGTCTGCTCCTGAGCTAACTCAAACAGCATCATTGGTGAAGAGTAAGGAGAGACAATTAACAAACTCTGACTGGCCAGGGGAAAAGGTTATAGATTCAAGTCTCTTTTTTATTATAGATTCTCTATAGTTATAGGGCTAAAATAATAAGCTCTGTTCTGTTTGTATTTTCTAATTGTAACTGAACTTATAACCCTGGACATATAACTAAAAATCAAACACATAATCTGTAATTGTTAGATAATCCACAAGCCTGTCTTTGTTCTGTGAACCTTGTATAAATAAAGAAGCACCAGATTGCTACACATTCAGAACTGCTAAATCCTCTTGGCCATCCCCTGACTCACCCTCTCCCCTCAGGGACTCCTTATTCCTCTACTGTGTCAGCCTGACCTCTCTGGCCCCCTGAAAAGGCCCCCAGGGCTTACAGCTATCAGCAACTCCAGTTCCAGAGGATCCAGTGCCCTCTCTGGCCTCCATGGACACTAGGCTTGCAAGCAGTGTACCTAAACACATGCAAACAAATCACCGGTACACATAAAATAATAATGAATCAATTGCCTTAAAGTGTAACTGAATTCAGCTTTGAGCTGCATTCATGCAGCTGTGTCCATTCTGATTTCTCTGTGTCCACTGCTTTCTCACAGCAACTCTCCATTTTGTTTGCATTTTATTTTCCATTTATCGAATTTCTACTCCTTCCAAATACTTCATGGATGCTTAGCCACTGTACACACATGAACAGCTTCTGCATGTGTGAGCGTCCTAACAAGCATTGATACAAGAGAGCGCACTAGGTTGGAGAGGTGTATGCTCACCTCATAACAGGGCAATCGCCCATGTAAACACCCAGGCCTGGACACACAGCGCTTAAATAAAATGTGTTTCGAAAACCTAATGGAGCGATTACATGTCTAGTATTACTCAAGAAGCTGGCATTATGGATACACAATCCACTAAAAGGTTTACAATCTAGTTATTTTGGCCTTTAATTTTTCTGTCTGTTCAAACCTTTTCTGGCAGCACTATCTGAGTAACAATTATAAGATGTTGGTGTGTATCTGTACATCAAACCAGAGGTTGCTGGACAAATTTTATAATATGGGATAAAGAAGAATAACAAGTTGTTCAGCTCCCTTAAGTCCCAGTGTTAACAGAGTTCTTCTGTGCTCATGGTACCTCCTGCTCCATAAACTTTTACCAGTCCAACATCGGCTGTGTTGATTCACACATTTGGAGATCAGAAGTTGTGCATCATCAACCAGCCCTGAACAGGGGACCCTCCATGGACTGTATGCCTTGACCAGTGAGTTTGCATTTCACACTTGCAAATGAAGCTGCCTGAGATTTCCTGGCCCTCCCCCGCCCCCTTCAGCTCCTGCTCCCCACACTCACCTCTGTCAGATGCAGGGGCCTGGGACTAGAGCTGCTGCTCTGGCCTCCCAAAGGCACCTGAGGCTCTGGCTTCTGCCTGGCCCAGTCCTGGACCCTCTGCAGCCCTCTCTCTGTCCACAAGACCTGGAGGGGAAAAATGGAGGGAGCAGGGGAAGGGGCCACACCCTGGGCAGAGGGCACCTGGTGGAGCCTGATAAGCTTCCAGAGAGCTGTGCAGAGGTCCCTGTGCCCTGGGTCAGGCCCATATCAATGCTGGACCATGAGAAGCCAGCATCTAGGAGAAGATAAAAGTAAAATAACGGTTTCTGTGGTGGTGTTTTTTTTTTTTCTTTTTCCTTTCTTTCTTTTTTTTTTCTAAGATGAGGAAAGATAAACAGGTGGTGAATGTTTGCTCAACACAGAAAGGGACAAAAAAAACATGGCAGAGGATGTTATTTGTTAAGCACCTAGGTTGTTAACACAATTTAACTGAAAGCTTCTTTTTATAGCACAAGAGACCAGCTGAGAAATAATTCATTGTTCATGATGGTAATCTCTATTTAGAGGCTCTGAGACAGGTCTGGGTGCCAGGGGCTCTGCCTCTAAGAGAACAAGAAGAGGGAGGGGTGATCAAGCCTCCCCTGTTAACCTGCCTCAGATGGTGCCCAGAGCCCAGGAGACTTCACAGCCCAGAAAGTTAAAGGCTAAAGAGTGAGCTTCACTACTCAAAAAGCTGTCAGAATCCTAGGGTGGATTAGGGAGGGGCACACAGTCCTCCCTCCTGCCCTGCCCCCACCACACACACTTAGCTGAGGAGGTGGAATGAGCTGAGGATGGCAGGCAGGGCAGGTCAGTTTCCTTCAGCAGGGTGGTCCTTGGTGTGCTGACTGTGCAGGGGGTGTTTACACCCGTGAATACATGATGGGCAGCACTGGCTGGACCCAGTGGGCTGTAGAAGAAGGGGAAGGAGAGGAAATGTCCAGGGAAGTGGGGAGGGGGGTGGGAGGAAGGAAGAAAGGGAGGGAGAGAAGGAGGGGAAACACCAAGACGGAGAAGTTGCAGTTTGAAGGGGAACTGAGGGGAATTTATCAGAAGGTGGAGTGGAGGGTGCCTGATGGCGGATGTAATTAAAATCCATCATATCTGAAATTCTCTTATTTCTCAAAGAATAATAATGTTACAAGTTTTTGTTGAAGTTAATATCTATTGGAGTACAAGATAAATACAAAGACAAAACAAGCTGGGCCAGTGGCCTGGCTATAGTACCATGGGGACCTGAGTTCAGATCTCCAGCACCCAAAAGCCCAATAACACAAAGGGGGTTATTGGAGGGTCCCGGGGCAGACATTCAAGTTGAAAGTGTCCAAGTTCTGCCTCTCTGAAGGCAAAGGCTTCGCCTACAGAAGTGTTTCAGCTTGTCCAGCAGGGTATGTCTTCCTGTCCCAAGCTCTGCTCCAGCTGCCCTGAGTGGGTCCACAAGGCCTGTCTTACCCTTCTCTGTCACTTGGAGCCTCTTGTACCAACAACTCATAAGGAGGTAGCCCAAGTCTCTGCCAGGATCTTTGTTTAAGAATCTCTGCCTCTGGGAGCAGTATTAATTCTGGTCATATAGGGAACAGCCTGTCAAACTTGCTTTTTAAAATTATTTTTCTTAAATTGGCTTAAAAAATTGTAGATTTCCACACGGGTTTTTTTTCTTACAGATTTAGTTTCAGGTGATCTTTCCTCTACCCCCTCTCCTCCTTTTCCTCCCCTTCCAACATGTAAACCTTTATATATATATATATATATATATATATATATATATATATATATAT